TGTCGTATGCCTGTTTAGGCAGTGGGGGTGCGATTGTTCCCGTTTTTCAGAGGCGCCATCTATGAGCAGGAATTCGACTTCTGCCACGCCATTCACACAACCACAACCCGTTTATAGGGCGGGTCACATTCACACACAAAGGAGAAAGGACATAGAACACACACAGAGAGAGAAAGAAACAGCCATGCCTTGAGCGGGATTCGAACCCAGGACCTTTCTGATGCAAGGACAGTTCCCTACCCCCTACACAGGCCGGTAGGCATAAATACAAATAAGAAGTATATAAAAAAATCTCCTGAATAAAAGTCGATTACATATATGTTTAAATATAAAAGATAACGCATATAAACTCGTGCAAGACATGTCATTATTTAAACACTACAGTGCGTCTAATTATTTGGTCTAATTATTATAATATATTCACATAATACCTGATATAATAAATATTCTATTATTTATGTAATATATCGCCAAATTTAACCCATTGATACACGAACGTAAACAAGTGCAAACCGGTTTCAGTGGCGTAAAAACAATAAGTATCACCTGATAATTAAGATTTTACATAGAATCTTACAGTTCGTCTAATAATTTAGCCAGTGACTGTATATCTATAACAATAGTTTATCTTAACGATATATTATATGCTTAACGATATAAAGTCAATGTTCGATCATATAGGTTTTAGTTGATCGCTTTTAGTGAAAGTATTTCAATGTTCCACTTAAGTTGCAGAATAAAAAAAATAAAAACTCCCGATACTCAATAGAAAATTTCACAGAAACTGACTCTGTTAATTAATAAAATTCAGAAAACAATCTTTTGAAAAGTGTTTCACACGAGGGAAGGAAGATTGCGTTTTGATTGTTTTTTAAGACTCAACAATCCATAAACTTCCGTAATTGAGCAACTGCCACTACTTTTATCTCCAGGTAAATCACTTCTTTCAGAAATATAGAGCGATATAAGATACAAGCTTGTTACCACAACCAGTTCAGGCGCATTTCCAACTAAGCAAATAATAATTTAATGCTTCTGATTTTTCTTCAATATTTTCCATTTTTATTTTTACGTGGTAAGTAAATACTACGTTATACACTTTCTGGAAAATTAGGTTTAACTTTGAACCATAATACGGCACATAACAAAGATTTGCCTGCAGCCATACATGTTTTCATTCTAACTGAACCGTAGTATTGTTCGATCAAATACGATAATGTGGTTTAACTTAGTACCCTATTAAAGACTGCAGATAATAGTGAACGATAATGGGGGTTGGCCGGCCAGGTGGCCGAGCGGTTAGCGTGCCTGACTGTGAAGCCATAGGCTGCGGGTTTGAATCCCGCTCTGGGCATGGATGCTTCTCTCTCTCTTTGTGCTGTCCTCTGTTGTGTGTATGATGTGTGAATGTGGCCCACCCTATAAAACGGGTTTGTGGCAGTGTGGCGTGGGCAATGTTGCTCGCCTCCGTGACTTTGGTTCACAGGTGCCCATTGGGTAACGCGAAATGAGCAACAATTCTGGCATAGTATAGGCAAAAATTCGAATTCAGTGCCTGCCATTGGAAAAAAAATAAAAAAAATAATGTGGGTTGTTTACGGATGAATAAAAAGTATTTTATGAACGAATGAAAATTTGAACAAGACATATAAATATATAGAGAGAAAGTGAGAACTAATAGTCATGTTCTTTATTTAATTTATCTAACACAGCGAATATAAAATAATGAAATATTTAAATGTGCGCAATAAACTATTTTTTTTTGTTCAAATAGAGAAGTTGAGTAAGTCAGAAATAAGTTAAAAATAAGTTAGAAATTATCACTGATGTTATTTTTAAACTATGTGAAAAACTGAATCGCTTATAGTAAAATTTAAAACAATGACTAACGCTTAACACATCAGAAAATTCCATTTCGTTTTTTGCTCATTCCTATTTAATGAATGAATTAATATTTGAAAAAAACTGTTTTAACATCAAGTGTCATTCACTAAGCTTTGTTTTTCGAACAACTCCTTACTCTCGTCCTCAGGTTTACCGACAACTGTAACGTTTTGATACGTTTTTCACCATATCTTTGCGTGTTTTACAGAGATTTCTTACTGAAAAATCAACTCACCTCATATTTAAAGTATCAGACAACCAACTTCAACTGCCCGTCCTACTCTCAAATTTATGTTCTCTTGTCAATGTAACTTTTTTTTTATAATTAAATCGTTCAGTCAAAATGTGCCTTAAAACAAAGTGATTAATCAATATAATTTTTGTTCCATTCGTTTTTAGTTTTTTGAGTTTTTTTTTTTTTCGTGAAAAGAAGAAGAAGAGGAGCTACGATCGATTCTATAAGTTGATCTACCATCCATTGGCTGTCGCGGGATAGGAAGAAACCTTGGGGCGGCGAGGGAAAATAGATGGGGCGCTGAGGGGCAGGTGTTTTTTTGACAGAGAGTAATATCGGTTCCAAAATACCTTCATTATTTCTCACGCGCGATTGACGAAAAGCGTTGGGCGGAGGAGGGATCGATTCTTGCGATCTCAAGAATAGAAAACGTTTCGAGTTGATTTTCAGGTGTTGAATACCATGAGTGTAAATTAAATTGGATATTTCTCTCATAAAAAAAGGTTTTAAAAAAATCCATTTAAATGGTGTGTAATGAACTATATAGATTTATTTTAAAGTATTCTGTAATTGTTGGATGGTTATAGAGGTAAATTAAATGGGATATTTTTCTCGTAAAATAGGTTTAAAAAAAACAATCCGTTTAAATGGTGTGTAATGAATTACATATATTCATTTAAAAGAATTCTGTAATTGTTGGATGGTTATAGAGGTAAATTAAATGGGATATTTTTCTTATAAGAAAGGTTTAAAAAACAATGCAATAGAATGGTGTGTAATGAATTACATATATTTATTTAAAAGCATTCTGTAATTGTTGGATTGTTATAGAGATAAATTAAATGGGATATTTTTCTCATTAAAAAGATTTTAAAAACAATCAACTCATATGGTGTGTAATGAATTATATAGAATTTATTTTAAATCATTCTGTTATTGTTGGATGATAATAGAGCTAAATTAAATGGGATATTTTAAATAAAAGAAATAAGTGATATAATTTTTGAGCTCATATCTGCTATATTTTATAAGATATTAATTCTGATGAGTTTGAAGTGAAAATTTGTTTTAGTTACTTAGAGATGTATTGTTAAAAAAGGTGATGCGGTCGCTAGATTTATAATGATCTCGCTTTCCTGGTAGTCCTGATTTGGCCTCTTTATACCTGATTATTACTGTTTGTTCTTGTTGCAAACCACGCAAAATCATACGTTAGTGTTAGCATATTGTTCGAGCAGCGAGATTAAGTTCATTTTACAAATTATTTTGGTTTAAATTTCAAAGTGGTATAGGGTTCCTGTCTAAATTATTAGCCGCACTATAAGATTCAATGTAAAATCTTAACTATCAGGGGATACTATGCAGCTTTATTGTTTTTGCACTAGTTTACGTTCGTGTATCAAGTGGTTAACAGTGTAATGCAATACGTTAAAAATAAAATCCCATTACGTGTATGTTTAAATATAAAAGTATTGCCTATAAACTCTTGCGAAACATGTAATTATTAAAAAAAACTACAGTGCGTCTAATTATTTGGTCTAATTATTAACATTTCAATAATATATTACCTGATATAATAAATATTTTATATTTATATAATATATCGTCGAATTTACCCAATCGTCTGATTTACATTATATATCGTCGAATTTACTTAATCGTCTGATTTACATTATATAGCGTCGAATTTACCCAATCGACTGATTTACATTATATAACGTCGAATTTACCCAATCGTCTGATTTACATTATGTATCGTCGAATTTATCCAATCGTCTGATTTACATTATGTATCGTCGAATTTACCCAATCGTCTGATTTACATTATATATCGTCGAATTTACCCAATCGTCTGATTTACATTATATATCGTCTCATTTAACCCATTGATACACGAAGTTAAACCAGTGCAAACCGTCTCGTAAAAACAATAAAGCTGTATAGTAATCTCCTGATAATTAAGATTTTACATAGAATCTTATAGTGCGTCTAATAATTTGGACAGGGAATATATTGTTAACAAGGTAAGGATAGTGATTTATGACAATTCTTTTTTTCAAATGACGATTCTTACGTCTTGAAATGACAGATCCTCAAATGACGATTCTTATAATGATTCATCTTTTGAACACAAATAATGAATCAGGTATCAAATGCACATATACAACTCTCAAAACACAATGATTTCGTTGTGAGCAAAATGGCTTCAAAATGCACCGGAAACAGTAACCCGGAAATTGAGACAGTAAAAAGCTTGCAGCGGAGCATTTATACAGTCAAACCCCGCTATGGCGAATCATCAAAGGACCGTAATTTCAGTTCACTGTGACCGGGAGTTCACAATATCCGTACTGCAAACTATTTTTTCCGAGTTACTTCTTATCATTACACAATATTTAAATAAATGACCCATATAAAGAAATACAAAATTATGAAGAAAAAAAAACAATATTTAGTAACAAAAATTGCGTCAACTTTCATTTTTTATGACTTTTCGTCTTGCGTACCAAAAATTTAGGAATGGGAAACTGAGATAGAAGAAGCAAACAAGAAAAAAAAAATGCTTATGGCGACATTGCACTTAATAGATGGTTTTAAAAATCGGTATATGCATTTCATGTAGAAATTTCAAAATGACCAAAAAATGAGGGGGGGGGGAAATCAGTGAAAGACAGAAAAAAGTTCATAATATCCAATTTTCTCTCTTCTTCTGGTTCACTATATCGACAAAAAATATTGTACGTGTATAGCAAGGCACGGGAGCGAACATTTCGTTCACTATATCCGTGAGTTCACTATTAACCATGTTCACTATAGCGGGCTTTGACTACAATAACATTTATTGATATATATATGTTGGTTCTTACCATGTTGCTGTTGCCTATTGAAGTCATCTTTGCACACGAAACGTGTTTCGTCAAGTACATAAAGTTCTTCTCCGGTAGAGGGCTGCTTCCGGCAAAGGAGGCACGTGAAACAGGCCACATGGTACACCCGACCCCTCGCTCTCCGTACCAGATCTGTTGGACATATGCCTTGGGAACAGCCACCACATTTTGTACCAAACCTCCTACGTACAAAACAGAAAAAATATTAAAACGTGATAAAATGAATCACTCCAACGAACAAAGTACCGCTTCATACAATTATTCACACCATATGAGCTTTATGTACATTTATTTAGATTTTTATAACCGTCGTTAAACAGACGACCCAATTTTTGGATTTACGTCTACTGATGTGTTCAACTAAGTAGTCTAGTAATTTTGAACCCGATCCAAAAGACAAGGGAACTCCTGGATCAAGTATTGGGAGAAAATTGCCTTCGTGGAGGACTTTTTCATGTAACTAACCAGCATTTGCGTTACATGGAGACAAAGATCACGAGAACCTCCCACGGTTAGCCTAATGACAAGGGGACTCTAACCCATGGTTCGTTTACCAGTGAGGATATTTCACGTCAGCACTGTAGTCAGTGGAAGTCGGATGCAGAATTCGGATCGACTAGCCATTGTCGGGATTCGAACCCGGTTTACCTCATTGGAAAGCGGACGCTCTATCCCTTGAGCCCTCACGGCTCATTTTTTTTTATATATCCGTCGTTGAACAGGTGACCCAATTTTTGGGTTTACGACTACTAATGTTCAACTCCGTAGTCTAGCAATATTGAGCTAATCCAGAAGACAAGGGAACTCCTGGATCAATCTTTGACCGGTTTGGAATCGAGCCCACGAACTCTCGGACATGGGCCCAGTGCCCTACCCACCAGGCTATCCCGGTCCTAGGCTCAATTTCTTTAGATTAAATAGAAGGGTAAAGTAACGTTCATTCATTGAATAATCACAATAAACTGACTTCAAAATTATGAAGATGGTAGTGAAGGCACAAAAATAGGCATCTAAAGTCTTTCATTCATAAGACTCGGAATATGAGGAAAACTAGGAATGGTGAAAAACAAAACAGCGCGCTATGTATACTGGCATTCAAATGAATAAAAAGCAATTCCAGAGATCAGGTGATGGGACGGAAAGAATTTCCGCATTCTCGAATTTACGCCCAAGAGTCCTACAATGCACGGCAATTTATCACATTCTTAATAACGTACTTCCTTTCATCAGCCACGCATCCAACACCAAATCTAATTCTTCCAGTATACGCGAGTTATGTTTTCATGTGCATTAAACAACGTGCATTTCGTTTCCTTGCGATTCCCATGATCCAAAAAATTCCCGACTGATTGCAACATCGAAAACTAGGGCCACGATGGCTGCTGGGATAGAGCGTTCGCATTCTAATGAGGTGAACCCGGGTTCGAATCCCAGTGATGGCTGGTCGATACGAATTCCGCTTCCGGCTTGCACCGAACACAGTGCTGACGTGAAATATCCTCAGTGGTAGACGGATCATGGGTTAGAGTCCCTTAGCCATCAGGCTAACCGTGGTAGGTTCTCGTAGTTCTCCCTCTCCGTGTAACGCAAATGTAGGTTAGTTCCATCAAAAGTCCTCCACGAAGGCAAATTTTTCCCAATACTTCACCCAGAAGTTCCTTTGTCTTTTGGATCGGGTTCAAAATGACAAGGGTACGGAGTTGAGCATCAGTAATCGTAAAACTGAGAATTGGGTTAGGATGTTCCAACGACGGTTATAAAATTTTAAAGCAAAATATCTAATACTAAGGATAATTGGCAATTTAATACGGAATGCCATATTGGTTGAAGTTATAGTTTTTAGTGGAATGCTAATGTTGTTTCACGCGGTACAACTGTGAAATCGATTTATAATGGATTCTTTTTTTTTTTTTTTTTTNTTTTTTTTTTTTTTTTTTTTTTTTTTTTTTTTTTTTTTTTTTTTTTTTGCAGTTACTTAAAATAATGATACAAAGTATATATACTCTCTCTTTGATAAGTTTAAAAGCATGACTTTTTAAACTTATTCTAAATGACAAATTATAAAAGAGGGTTTAAAACAAGTTATTTCGTTAGAATAAATCCCGAAAATAGACAAATGGTTGCGCAGAAATTTTCAATTGCAACTTTTTTTTAAAAATAATGGAAATTTAATTAATAAAGAGAAATGACGAAAATTTTATTTTATTTTTAAGCCCTCATTGAACAGCTCACCCAATTTAGGGTTTACGGCTACTAATTTTCAACTCCGTTGCCTTGTAATTTTGAATCCGATATCAAATCCGATACAGAAGACAACGAAACTCCTGGATCAGTACCCCTAGAGGTATGATTTGTTATGGGAAGTTGGAGGACTTTATGACTCAAGCGATTTAGCGTGCATCAGTTACCACTTACTACACGGGGAATTTTCTGCCGGCGTTGATCGAACCCACGACCTCTTGGACATTGGCCCAGCGCCCTACCAACCAGGCTTCTCCCGGACCCAATGACGAAAATTATAAAGATAGAAAATTCGTTATATCGAGATAACCAATTCCTTATATGAACGTTCCGAATAAAAATTTCGTTATAAAAAGAAATTCGCTGTCGAAATAATCGATAGAGCTAATAATTTATAAAACAAATTACGCTATCATTACTGAACATTTCAGTGATTTTTTGCTGCAGATTGCCGCAGTAGATTTTCAGCCTGTATATGATATTTTGTAAATAATCTAAATTAAACTGAAATTTAAAAACTTCAATTTAAAAAATAGTGTGTTTATGTTACAAATTATTATTTTGTTACCTATTTTTTTAACTCCCATATTTAATAAGAATAATTACAGTCGGACTTCTATTTAACGAAGTCGCTAAATCCCGAAAATACGTTCGTTATATAGAAAATTCGTTCTATTGAAAATCACCTTTTGAAATTCTTCAACACAAAACAAATTTTAAATTCATAAACACTAGACATATTTAAAATAGCAATGGATAGACCTTTATCTCATAAACTAGTATCTACGATTTATTTGATTAATCTTAACCATAAAATAAATCTGCATGGAAAGCAAGGATAGAGCAAAACATTATCCAGTGTTACACTATCATGCCAACATACATTTTCCACTAAAAAAGAGCTAAATTTTTGTATAAAATTATAGCCGCATTTATTAAAAAAGTAATTTTAAACCTACATTACCGCAAGTGTTCCTAAGTTTAATTGCTGCTGATTAAATCCGTTAATATGGTCTGAGTTTTTCGTTTGAAATGCAAACTAAAAGGGATTTTACTGCTTTCTCTAAAACTTAAGTGGCTTCGAAAATCAACAAGTTTGAAATGTTCTGAAATATTTGGGGAAATATGGAAAGTGGATTCCAAAGAGAAGCTCGTTAAATAGAAAATTCACTTCGCTATTTGGAAGGTATTTTAGGAAAAAATATCCAAAATGCAGTTCCTCGAAGAAAAAAAAATCGCAAAATAGAGAAAATCGTAAAATGCAATTTCGTTAAATTGAAGTCCGACAGTATTATATATATGAAGGTGTATTTTTCATTTGAGCCCTTTTTAAAAAAATTATTTCATACGATTTTGATAAAATTAAGTTTTAAAATGAGGGTGAATCGGTGTGCGTGCGGGTGGGATCAGCCTGCGTAGGAACCGAGGATGCGCGGTCTTCCTGAAACTGCTCGATTTCGCGAGCAGGTCGTCGGGCTACCGAAGCTTCCTCTCTGCTGAGGAGCAAAATTGTGATGGCATGTCTTTGGATCATCCTCTAGGGATGTTTCCCAGATGTTTCCCATTGTGCAGCTCTAGTGTGACGTAAATAAACAACAACTGTTATATACTGCACTTAAAGTACAGATTCATAAATCTATCGAAAGCGTTTTTTAATTTCATGGGATGCCTATTCAATGAATCATTCATTCCATGCGTCAATATTGTAACAATGTAGGCGTTAATAATGTACCCACCTACTATTTAAAATGGCATTCTTTAAAATGATGTAAAAATTTGTGCACTTTAGAAATCAAACTTTTTTACGCTGATGTAAAATAAATTAATAAAACTACTAAATAATTATTAAACATTATTTTTTTTGCAAGGAATTATGCTTAGATAAACGAATTTTATAATTTTGCTCAAAAATTTTTGATTCGTTTTTAACGTTATTAATTCGTTAAATGTGAAATTAACGTTAAGGAGTCCAAAGTTTCAACTGCTCTCCTGGTAAAACGATTGGAACCCTATTTTCTAGACAACCCCCCTCCTATATTTAAGATCAAGAATCCAAACCCGTCGAAAAAAGGATATATTTATGCAGAGAAAGTACGTTTTTGTGCCTGATTTCGTAAATTAGGATATCATCTGCTTTAGTTAATTATCCGAGTCAAAATTCTTGATGGCCTCATCAAAAAAAAATGATGGTTTATGTTGGTTTCAGTGCAACTCATGATGGTTCAACATCATTTGATGGTCACCATCATCTAACATTTTCCATTGTGTATTCTTGGTTTTTGATATGCCAACAAACTTCCATCATTCCATGGTGGAAAATGATACTTTAATACTATGATGGTTAACCATCAAGAGAAGTTTAACTCCGTGATGGTTCCAACTATACATTTTCATGGTTTAATAGGATGGTTTAATAGGAATTCTTATTGGTTTCTCAGGAATATACTATTAAAACAATTAGGGTTTTTTTTTGATGTTAGACCATCATAAATCAGTCTGAATTCCTACGTTGAAGTGATGGTGGCTCATGATCGTTACAACATTTGATTTCTAAGAAACTATGATGGAAATTTCTGATGGTTCAACAAAAATAAACCATCAAAACAGGTTTATATTCTTATTTTGAACCATCATAAATCAGTCCGAATTTTCTTCATTGAGGTGATGGTTATTTATGTTGGTAACCATCAAAAAATATAATGGTTCATGATGGAATTATTGATGATAACCATCGAGATTATGTAAGTCCATCAATGGAAAACCATCAAAAATTTTGACATACTTAAAATACTTAAATTCGAGCCGTTAAGCTTGAGTACATAAAAATCCAATCATTAGATCAAAAATTGTTCAGGGTGTTTGTGGAGAGAGAAGTTATCGACAATGTCACTCTGTCATAGAATCGAGTTAACATGCCTTATATTCTAGTGAATTGGAATTG